GAAGTTTGATTCCATGGAATCAGACTCCCCAAGTACATGTCTGCATAGAGTTCTCACCTGAGGAAAAACAGAATCAGGATTTTATATCTACTGCATGCACAGGACTCTGTTTTTGGTGAAGCATGCAATTTGTGCTATTTATACAAACGCTGGGTTAAACTGAGGTCGGTTCATAAATTCAGACCTTGGAGAGGTCAAGCTGGACTTTGGCCACTAGCTAGAGTGAAATACAGGCAGACCTTGGTGCCCCATGAAGTGACCATGAGCTCCAGAAAGAGACAGGTGTCCGCACTCACTAAGTAAGGATGGTTGGAGACTAAAGGTATAAAACACATTAAGTCTGTGACAGGAGAAACCCTGCCTGAGGTTCCCTGGGAACCTTGCACAGGTTAAACACCTTCCTGCATCACACACCTCCGTTAGAGCCCCTCCCCTCATGCCAGCTTCCCAACTGTTCCTCACACCACTGAGTTCTGTGAACAGAGCAGTTGGGGGACTGGCACTGGATGGGACTAGCAGCTGGCCTGGAAGAACAGCTCCAAACAAGCACAGCCCTAAGCAAGGCAGGAGGGGCAGGGTTCACTGGACCCCAGGATCCACCACCAGGCCCAGGGATTTCTTTATTACCTGTTCTGCAGACAAATGGTCTTAGAAACTGCAGAAGCAAGAGATGCAGAGCCCCTAAATATGAACTTTGTATTTAGTTGTAAACTGACTTAAGTGTTCATTTTCTCTTTTGCAGACATGATTTTTTTCCCTGCCGTATTGGCTGCAGTGTCTAGCATTAAGGGCAGTAGGATGTGTTAAATAGCTGTTAAGCTGCAGGCCTGTACTTCTGTGAAGGAATCCCTCTAGTCCTGCATCTCAGTTACTTTGAAAACAAAAAAAACCCCTTTGTAAATCCACAGCTTTCCTTAGGAACTGCTCAACCCAAATGCATCTATTTAAAATTTTTAGTCAAATAGCCTGAGTCCCCCTTGACACAACTGTGCTATAAACTCTCAAAGGACAGAGGTATTCTAGAGCACCAGAGAGTCAGGAGCCCCAGGACAAACTGAGGTGTGGAGGGGCCTTGGCATCACCGTATCCCAGCTTTGAAGAGTGCACAGAAGCAGAAATGCACAGCAATAGGAAATGCAATGCAAAAAAGACATCAGGGTTACAGGAGAAGTTGGAATTACATGAAAGAGAGCAAGGAAACCGGGCACCCTGACCCTCACATCTGACCTGCTGAAGTCCTCCAGAGACTTCTCAGTGAGCCACCCTCCAGCAAGGATCAGACAGGCATAGGGCACAGACTCCTCTGTCCCCTCTCCTGCTCCTCCAAGGGCTGAGTCTGAGCCCCGCCAGGCAGATGCTGCAGCATCCTGAAGCTGGGCACTCAGGTGTGACTTTAGGAGGCAAAGTGGGAAGTTGCATCACGGGCTCCTTTCTTTGGGGAATTGAGGTGAGGTCTTCTGTTTAATGCCTTGTGGAAGCAGAGAAGTGGTGACTTTTTTCTTTCACCTATTCCCAGTGCCATGTGACTGCATAGTCCCAAACCCCTCTACATGTGTGGTCCCGCTTTCCTCATAGCAGTGTAGGCACAGCCTCATGGACACAAGTGGCTGGAAAATTGTGTGATGTCCCTGTACCAACCTCCACCAGGAGTGGGACTGTATACAGCTCATGTGAAGTAATAATGAAAATAAAAACTAAAAATCAGAAAATACTTTATTATTACTCTCATTTATCACTGTGGTATGGTGGCTTTAATTTCAGGAAGTTACCAAAGAGAATAGCAGAACAAATAGCAGAACCTCTAGTTCTAGATTTGTGAGGAATCTTTAACACTGGCTTTCTACACTGCAGCCAACAGTGAACAAGGGTTCCTTTCTTCCCAAAGCCCCACCAGCATTTGTTATTAGAAAGTTTACTTGACATTAACCATTGTTTCTTGGGAGAGAAGGAACCTCAGTATTGTTGCAATTTTTTATCTCTTGAATGACCATGGACATTGAACATTTTTTCATTTACTTAATTTTCTTTTCTATTTCTTCATCTAGCAAGTGTCTACAAATGTCTTTTGTGCCCTATTTTGCATCAGGTCTTTAATTTTGAGGAAATCTGACTTGAGTTCTTTCTATTCTAGATAGTAACCCTTTGGCTGAAAAACAGGTGGCAAACATTTCCCACACTGTGAAAAAATGTCTCTTCACTGTAGTGGTGATTTTTCTTGCTGTGCAAAAGCTTTTTAATGAGATGAGATTGCAGGTGATTTTTGCGATAATTCCTGTGTGATCAGAGTTTTGTTCATAAAGTCTATGCCTATACCACTGTTTTCAGGAGTTGTATCTGTTGTGTTTTCCAACAAACTTAGTGTTTCTGCTTTATATTTAGATCACTGATATATTTTGATAATCAATTTTTCCAGTTTGTCTTATCTTTTGTTGGATTAATGAATTTTGTGTTGCACAAAAGTGACTCTTCCTATGGGAGCACCTGCCCCTGTGTTCCCTGGGTTCTCCTCACTCTGTAAAGTGTCCACACACACTCTCTGCAGCTGTAGTTACAGAGCTTCCCACTGGGAAGGAGCTCCTCTCCTACCCCTCTGCTCCTTCCAGCCTTCTTCCTATAAACTTGCATCTGCTCAAAGATTGCAAATCTTGATGATTTCAAAGCTTTGAAAAATAGGAAAATAATTTTTTAAGTGTGCGTGTGAAATATCAATACTGACGGTTTGTTAAAAATGACTTGAATGGAGACACTGATCAACACTAAATATCAAGAACCTATAAACATATAAATTAAACCCAGAATGAAGGGCAATCTAAACCCATAGAAATAACTGTGATAACATATAACTTGGTGAGGTTGTGGACAGAGAGGAACATTTATTCACTATTTGTGAATGTAAATTAGTGCAGTCATCAGGGAAAACACTATAGAGGATCCTCAACAAATAAGAAATAAAAATAGTGCATGGTCTAGAAATCTCATTACTGGGTATACAGCCAAAGAATTAAAGTCAGCATATTGAAGACTCCTGCAATCCCACGTTTATTGAAACTCTATTCACAATACATAGGGTACAGAATCAACCTGAGTAGTGGAGAAGTGGATAAAGAAAAAGTATGCACCATAGGATCCTAGCCAGCCCTAACAAAGTGCGACATCCTGTCATTCGCAGCTGGGCTGACACACCTGGAAAACAATAAGCAGCGAGGCTGGGCACACAGAGACAAATACTAAATGATCTCACCCACAGTGGAATCTGAAAACCTTGATCTAATGGATATTGAAAATAAGATCATCTTTTAAGTCCCACAGAAGACTCTACTCTCACTTAGAGATCAGTGAACATGCACCAAATTTAAATATTTCCCAAATTCTCAAAAACATACAAGCTAAATGGAGTGCTCTATAGATTGCTGTGATATGAGAAACTTTTTGAAAAATAGTTTAGTAACATTGACTTAAAAATGGATACGATTTATGTGTTATCTGCATTAAGCATAATATGGGCATGAACTTTTATTCTACTTGAGTTTCTTAGTTAAACCAATATTCTACCTATTGAAGGTTTAATATAGTAGTTATAAATTTAAACTACCTGTAAATATCTAACTGCATATTTAGTGACAAAAGAATTGCTGGAGTCAATTGCTTCATGTATACCAGGCACAGCAGTAAGGCAGAGCAAGCAAATGCAACATTAAAAAATATCTTTAACATTTTTAGCTTTGTATTTCTGTGACGCTTGCCTAAAAGTGAATGTACTGGAAAGCCAGTCAACAAGAGAGTAACTTGATAAACCACCAGTTTATATAAACAGTAGGTGCTTCTGAATCTTTGAATACAAATTATAGGTTTAGTTTATTTACATTTGACAACAACATGATAACAATCCAGAAAAAGTTTGGATGCTGTTGTCCAGGTTTTAATGTTGTATTCTGTGTTGAGTGTTTTAAAATACACCACACACAGAAAAAAATATTCAATAAATTTGATAAAATTTTCATTTTACATTGCTTATTGTATTGCATTATAAAAATTAACAAAATTCAAATTTTGGTCATCCTGTCTTTAAATGATTGTACTGGTAAGTGATAAAATTGTTTATCTCTTATGTTTAACTGCAGGAAAATAATTGTTGCTGAAGAAAAGTTTACATTTCCATAGTCTGTATTTGCATAAGGTAAATATTAGTATAAATTTAATTTTAAAAAATTGTGTGAAGATCATAGTATTTTGTTATTTTCTATACCACCCATTATGTGATTCAGCACAATGATACTGATAACAATTCCAGTGATTATTTAAAATGTTGCATGTATTGAAGTAAGCCAGCATTCTTGTGAAATGATCAATCACAAGGTTTTTAACCATGGTTCTTTAAAGTCTTCATTAATTACAAATAGTTTCCTTAATAGTTCTTCTGACATTTTTCTTAAAGTTCTTTCACCAGCTGTAAGTCAGAGCCCTTCATCATCAGTAAAATATGATTATCTAAGGCAAAGAAAGGAATCACGGAATGAGATAAATTCATCAACCAAGGTACCACTGTGTAACGTAAATTAGCTTTTTGGGTCTTTACAATTCTGTGGTATTTAGCACATTCACAGGATTAGAACCATCACTGCTTTCTAGTGCCTTAAATACCACAATAAATCATTCCACATGAAACTTCAGATCTCCTGGGCTAAGAATGACCACAGGTTTGGTTTGTCTGGGAGAGATCAAGTTTGTCTCTGATTTCTTGGAAATCTGTTTGTTTACAACCTGGAGAGAGAGAATATCCCATTAGGGTCATAGAAATAAGGTGAACCTGTATCTGCTCTATCACCATGGCCATTCAACTGAACATAAAGTGCACGTTCCAGCTACACTTCAGGAGGTGTGATGAGATTTTCCTGCGACCTCTCTAAAAATCTAACATTGCTGCTAGATGAAGCAGCCTGACTGTTCAGAAACCTGTGTCAGGGAGTGGAAAGATTGCGATGCACGAGGCGGAAGATAGTCTACTGTGCAGGGTGACCCCTGCTCAGCTGCAGCCTTCTGAGTGCCTTCTGCATGTCCTTGTTCCTCAGGCTGTAGATGAGAGGGTTCACAGTGGGGGGCACCACTGGGTAGAAGGCAGAAACTAGCAAATCCAAGAATGAGGGAGATTTGGGCAGGGGGCGTAAGTAGGCAAAAAACCCAGAAGACAGAAACAGGGTCACCACCAGGAGGTGAGGCAGGCATGTGGAGAAAGCTTTGGCCCGGCCCTCTCTGGAGGGCATCTTCAGAACAGTGGAGAAGATATGGAAGTAAGAGACATTGATGAACACAAAGCAGATGAGGCCCAATAGGAGGCTGAGCCCAATGACTACCAACTCCCCGATGTTACAGACACAGGCAAGAGAGAGCAGCTGTGGGACATCACAGAAGAACTGGTGGACCTCAGGCGGTCCACACATGGGCACAGAGAAGGTAGCAGGTGTGTGCAGAACCGCATTGAGACCTCCACTGAGCCACGAGGATGCTGCCATCTGCTCACAGGCTTGGTGGCTCATGATGGTCTGGTATCTGAGAGGGTGGCAGATGGCTATGTAGCGGTCATAGGACATGACTGTGAGGAGAGCTGTCTCCGTAGTGGCTAAGAGGAAGAAGAAGAAAACCTGGGACACACACCCAAGAAAGGAGATGAGGTTTAGGTTCATCAGAGAGTTTGCAGTGGACTTGGGAACAGTAATGGAAATGAGGCACAGGTCCAGGAAGGACAGATTCCTCAGGAAGAAATACATGGGGCTGTGCAGGCGGGGGTCCTGCATGGTAATGATGATGATGAGGAGATTGCCCAGCAGGGCGACCAGGTAGATCACCAGGAAGAGCACAGCATGCAGCACCTGAAGCTCCCAGACAGTGGAGAAGCCCGTGAGGATAAACATGCTCCCCCATGTGGCATTGTCCATTTTTCTGGAACTTTGATCTGTGAAAATAGAGCAAGCAAAGTGAGACTTGACCAAGAGTCCAGACTGTTTGGTTTTCTTCGTTTGTCTTTCTGCAGCTCACATTCACATCTGTCAGAAAATTTGAGGTCAGAGAAGATGCCAGGAAACCCCCATGGAAGACACTGAACCAGAGAAGGGACACTGCATGTGAGGCTGGGAAGGATGTCCTTCCAGAACTGTGAGCCTTGGGATTTAATCTAAATGAAATCTATAATCAGTAACTGACTAAACAGAATCACACACACATAGTTTGGGTTAAAATGGATTCTTAGAAGACAATGCCTGTGTTTTGTAGCTAGGAGTCTGAAATCCAGTTTTCAACTGACTCATTTTGTAGTACTGTGATTTCAATTAAATTATCTGAATAATAGTTTAGTCAGCTTACAGTCAGTGTTTCTCATTGGTTAATTGTTCTAGTTCAATTGACTGGTTCAATTTAAAGTACTGTACCTAACATGGGCTGAAGGTGTAGCTCACTGGTAGAGCTCATGGTCAGCACCTGCCCGCCCCTTGGTTTGGCCCTCTGCACTTAAACAATCTGAGGACCAAAGGTTTTTATTAAATGTTCAATGTTCCTTTCTTAAAGCAATGTCGGCAAAGCTGAAAAACTTCGAAAACTGGCAAGCAATAACAAAAGAAATAAGCTGAGTGTCTTATGTAGTTGCTTTTTGGCTTTGAACTATTTTACAATTCCATAAATTGTAAAAAAAATTGTTAATAGTACAAATTAATAAGAAGACTTAATAGATATTGAGAAAATTAGCCTAGTTTCCCAGACTGTAACCCTGAAAAACTGTCAGATATTCTTTGTGCTTTTGTTGTTTATTTTGTTTGTCAGAGAGATTCCAAGGAGCTAAGCTCCCACTTAATGCAAATCACTACTCTTAGGAATGCATGTCTGTGCATAATTTTAAGTCATCAGCTGTTCTTACACGCGTGGTAGTTTGACTTCTCCTCTGAAACTTTGAGATATCTTTCTAGTTCCCTCATAATTAGTGATCTCAATAAAACCCTTGATCTGTGTATTTTGTCAGAGACACACCAGATTAGTACATTTTATGTGTAGGAGAGCCATTAATTGTCCTATGTGTATGATAAGCAATAATTAAATCGAGGTAATAGACATTTGTATCTCTTTCAAAATTAATTATTTCTGTTGGAAAATATTGTCATCTTTGAATCATTCTGAAATATATTACAGACTGTTGATGAATATAGACAACTTGTAAGGCAAATACCACCTGTTTCTGCTTATTTATTGATTTTGTAGGAGAGGAGAGTGGAATGGTTCTTGCCTAAAACTAGAGAGGGCGGAGGGGAGGAAAGTGGTGGAGAGAGGAAGAGGGGTCAGCAGAACTCGCTTTGGGGTTTCATAGCCTGTGCTCACGCTGAATTAGTGTGAAAGTCACTATCTCACCCATTTTGTAAAGATATTTTATTGCCTGACCCAAATAACAAAACTTTCTCAAGGATTTTGAAAAATTTCAATTGATGTGAGAAAAAATAGCCCAATTTTTTAGAGATAGCAATGCTGGAAAACTATCAGATATTCTCTGTGCTTTTGTTGTTTATTTGCCTAAATAGTGTGTTGATTTTGAAATGGGCCACTTTCCTTGTCTAATGTAATAGTCATATTCATTTATTATATGTCAGAAACATTAAATTATCTGAGAACTCCCCAGCCACAGCTGTGACACCTATCAGGAACTGTTCTGTCGCTGATGTGTTTCTAGGTACACATAGTTGATTACTGGGGATAAGAAGGCCTCCTTCTCTTTCATAGCTGCTCTGCTAGGTTACTTTTGCCTCTGTTTCTCTGCCCTTGAGTCTTTGCTCGTCCTCTTTCTTTCCTGTCTCTGTGGATTATTTTATCATCTGCATAACAGAATTGTAAATATTCCCTATGTTCTCTCCTGAGCTGCTCTGCTCTCTTATCTTTCTATTCCTTTCCCTTTTGTCTCAGAGCAGGAAAGCGTCCCTGCTTCACAAGGTTATGGTACAGCATTGCAATATCTCACACTGGGAGCATTTGCTGAGGTGAATCTATCATTCAGGTGTGGTGACCTCTGGCAGAACCCTTCACCAAATCAAACAGACCTGGGGTTTTTCACAATTGTGATACTGATTTGTCACGATCAGCTTTTTACAGTTCTTGAAAAATCTGCTGTGACTATAGATTTTTATCCCTAAATTTTCCCTTTCTCATTGTTCAACTTTCATGTTCCAAACCACACAGAAATTCATCTAAAGTGCTCATGTTGATCTTGTGAAAGGGTACACACATTATGGGGAAATACCAGAGGCTCACATTCTACTAGACACGGTTGGATACAACTACACAGAAATTACAAGACAACAAGGTCACATGGGGGAGGCAGCATACTAACATTTTAGAAAATAAGTGAACATCAAACAGTGGCTTTTCAAAATGTATTCCGGCAGTCACAGTGTCCACAATGCTCCTCACCCTCTAGAGCATTCTCTCATGGTCCTCTACACAGCTTGGTATGCATTACTTTGCCTCTCCATAAACTTCATGCTTCTTAACAGAGCTTTCAGTATGTGCTGCCTTCCATCTCCCACTAGACCCTTCCCGAATCTGTCTCATGCTTCCTGTTAAACAAACAACCACAGTAAACCATTCAGTGCATAGCCCCTGTGACCCAAAGTCAGCTGAACCTTTCCTCTCTCCCTGTTAAGGACCCTCCTGGAGATTTACAAGAAATATCAGTTTTCCACCAAAGTCAGCATTCAGCAGAAACAGCTGTTCTCAAAATAGGGCCCTGGGTTTGCAATACTAGCATCACCTCGGAGCGGGATAGAAACAAGTATAGACCCCGGCCGGACTCAGAACCGCAGAATCAGAAGCTCTGGGAGAGGAACTCAGAGTGATGTGCACGGAGCCTCCTGCTCAAGATCACAATCATGCAGGGGTCTGGCATTTGACCAAGGGAAACCTAAACAAAGGATTAAAAGGAAGGAAGCAGAGAACAGACCTCTGACGGGAGGACATGGGTCCTAGAAAACAAGGGTGAGGGGTGGGGGCACTGGAAGGGGGAATAGACAGAATAAAGACAGGCTGATTACTGGAAGCTAATAATCTCAGTGAATGTGAACACTATGTGCCGTGACAGGAGCTAAGATTAATAATATCCATAAGAATGAAAATAGGGATAAGGGAATTGGAGGGGGGAGTGAAAAAACCAAGCTATATTCTGTTCACATGCCTGGCCACAGGATGACTGTAAGTGAAAGCATATACTGCAAACATGCACTAGGAAAATTTAGATTTAAAAAAATATCACCATTTATAAAAAGATTTTGATGCTGGGTGGCATCTGAAAACTACATGCACAGAATAGGATGGTGTGTAAAGTCTCTGCGTCTTACTGGGATACCTTTTGCGTTTTCTACTAAAAATATCCCTTGCCCTCAAACATGTTCCTTTTTCCTTTTCTTCAATTCTACCTCCTAAGTCTACTTTAGAATTTCTAGCATTCCAAGTAAAATCTCAAAAGCAAACTAAAGTTCTCCTGGACTTCTGAGTAAGTCACTTATCTTAATTCCTATTCCCTTGTCATGTGGTGATTACTTAATTGATAATAAAATCATTTCCTGGTAATATGCAATTATGGACAATTATACATTATGCAAGATGGCATTTTCTATACCAAATGGGGCAGACACCAGGTGCATCATAGGTAATCAAAGTGGGGTTGACTTAGGCCAACAATACTGAGACAGACTCTTGGATGGTGGGTCTCCAGGAAGGGGCAGCACCCCTCCTAGGGAGCCGATGAGGAGGGCAAGCCCAGTGCACTGTGCCCTCTGGGGCTGCCGAGGGGCTCGGAGAGATGAGCCTGCATGGGGAGGTCTCAATTTCCCTGTGTCCTCATCTAGGCTCCACTACTCAGCATGTGAGGGTGACTTGGCACTTAACTCTTCTTCATATGGAATGACTTTGGCTAGGTTGGTATATTCGAGGCAGAGGAAGAAGTGCGGGTTTTCTTTAAGATAATACATCCAGAGTTGTTACGGAGTCTGGAATAAATTGTCCTGCAGTAGGCATGGGAGGGCAAAGAAAGCACTGAATAACTGCAAGCAGGTGCCCAGGACAGCATTGAGTCTGAACGGCAGAGCAGAGTGGACACAGGGAATGCCCTGCGGCTGCGCAGCCCTGTAATCAACGACTCCAACTGCGCTGCGCACCAGGGGAAGGAGAAGGCCCAGCTCCACTTCTTTTCCTGCCTCTGCCGCTCTCCTGCTAGGGTCCTCCTTTCCAGGCGTGGCCAGGCTCAACCCCAGAGCTATGGGTGTCTCTTTTCTGATTAGAGACTCCAGCGAGCAGGTCCGCAGGAGCGTTCTCACCCCCATGAAGATGAGTCACCAGCCTCACATGTCCCCATAAAATAGTTTGTGCACATTTTTAGCGATAAGGAAGGAAGAACTTCTCAGCAGTGTGAGGAAGGCACTTGCATACCTGATGGGAACAGGAAGTGCAGAGTAGGGGAGCCTGGGCTCTTCCTCCATGAGTCACCAGCAGGGTCCCACATCCATTCATCCTGGCCCAGTATGGGCCTGAGCACTTCCTGGGATGGCCAAGGGAAGCTCAGCTCCAATACCACAGAAGGCACCAGGGTGTGGCCTTAGCAAGCCAGCAGGTGGGCTAAGGTTTCTCTGGGTAAATGATTTTATACCCCTCATTTTCAGTACTGAAGATTGGACACAGCTTTTTACTAAGCTATAGCATAACTCTTGCTAAGTGACCACGTTCCTCAGGCTGGACATGAGGTTGCTATCCTCCTGCCTCAGCCTCCCCAGGGTGCTGAGGTGAGGAGCATGAACACCCAGGAAATCAGACTTGCTGATGACCAGAGGGGATGTGTCAAGGAGTTCATGAACCTCATAACCCTGATTCTAAACTTTCAACAGCAGGTTGCTCTTTGGTATTCCTCAGAGTGGGAGGCACAGAGCAGGTCTGCATTAGCTGGGTTGGTCCAAGCCCAGTGAGGTTCATAATCTGAGGACTCCTGAACTGCCCAAGGGCCTTCCTGGAACTGACCTAGCTTCTGGAGGTTACCTTCTATTCTGACTCTACAGTAGGATGGGACCCTCGAGCAGCTCCAGGAATTAACACCAGATTATCCAGGACAGGAGCAAGATTGAGACATGGGTGTTCCAGCCCTACAAGTTTGGCAGGAGCAGCCCAGTGAAGAGCCCAGGGCTCAGGATGCCTGAGCAGAGTCCTTAAGGCCTTCCAGCAAGCCCAGTGCTTCTCTACAGGAAGCCAGACTTCTGCCCCAGGCTGCCAGCTGCTCCAGTGTTGTGGCTCATAACGGCCCAGGGATGGCAGGGAGGTGGCCATCAGGGGTCCCCTCCTCTGTGTCCCATGTGGTCCCAGCAGATGCTTTTGACATCATGAAGCCCTGACACTGAGTCTGCTGCACACATGGTGCCACTTCAGAGCTCTGAACTGCAATATAGAGACATGACTGACAAGGACACTTACAGAGGCAAGGACGGCAGATGGGGAGGTGAAGAGAAGCAGGAGGGAGGAGCAGGGAGCTTCCTTGGCTCCTTAGGTTGAGGAACAGGAAGGTGCCATGCTCTGTGTGGAGCGGGGTCACTGAATCCATGGGAGGCTGCCCGGGCTTCTTGTGGATTAAGTGGCTCTGCTGGAGTCGGCCCATGAACGCCCTGGGAATAAAACCAAAGGTACCACATATTCCCCTTGGGAGAAAAAGACTTCACAGGAGATGCTTATTCCCCTGAGAGCACACAGGAGATTGCAGAAGAAATCATTCCAGCTGGAATCACCTGAATCACCTGGGGCCACTATTTCTCAGTCCTCAGTCGAAATGCCTCTATGCTTCGATATGCATAGATTTAACTGTCAGGCTGAGCAAATTTTAACAAGTGTTAAACGTTTTTATTAAATTTTATGTGTGAAATATGTTATTACCTTTTCACTGCTGTTTATTGATTTGCATTGCTTTATTTAGGATTTTTATATATTTGTAAACAGACCATAAAACATTGTGCTTCTTTACTGTAAAAATAAAGTTGTTTTATTTTTATCTTTTGTGATTGTTTTATCCCTATGAGATTTTGCTTAATCTACTTATCTTGACACTTTTTTTTAATGACTGCTGGCTTTGATCTCTTGCTTAGAAAGATTTTCCTGTCATTTTTTGAATTGTGCTCTCAAGAAAGCATGACACAGCTTTCCAAGTGTTCCTTCAAACCACATCCTTTCACGTTTCCTCCACTCTGGAGTACTTTTAGGTTCTACCCCTTCTTTCAGAACATTATTGGATAATTCATATATTTTCCAATTTTTGGAGAATTAGTGAATAATGCACTAATGTGTCACAGATGTGCTCTTCCACTACATGCGACACAGCCACTAATTTCATGTGTCTGCTTGTGTGCCCTACAGTTGGCTGAATAACATAGAGAGGCTGACATGTGCTGAGTTATCTTATTGCTACAGTATTTTAAGTTTTCTGTTCATATAATCATCTCAAAATGGTTTTCTTTTCTTCCAATGTTTAAAGTGCCTGTTTTTCACATATATTTTCCTGCTAACCGTGCAACAGTACCGCATAGTAATGTTAGTTTATTCCATTTAGTTGAAATATGCCATGTCACACATGTGTTGTAAATTTTGGATATAAAATCACCAATAAATTATTAGACTTAATTAAGAGTAAGCACTGGATTTGGTGAGGATGTGATTGTATCACTGATTGAGTGGAGAAATAGATTAATAGATTTATTGTTACTGTAATCAGCTTGATCTCTGAAATGAGCAAACTAATATGCTATAGCTTTAGTTCATTTTTGGAAAACATTTAATATTGTTTTAGTTAGGCAAGTTTCCTTTTTATCAGAAATGGTATGTGGATTTTAAGTGTTTTCTTTAATGTTTGCATTTCTTGTGGTATTTGAAAGGTTTAATAAAAAAAATGTATGATATGAGAAGAAAGCAGCAACCTGTCCCACACCAATGTCATCTTGTTAAATTAAGTTCATTAAAGAAAAGAAAAGAAAGAAAAAGGAGGCAAGCACCACAAAATATGTGGAATGAAAATTAAACTCTAGGAGTCCAAATCTATGTCCTCCAAGGTCTGCTATGTATTGTAACAATGTTATAACCTACTTAAACCTTAAACCATTATGCTTGGGGAAGAAAAAGAAGACACCAAAGTCCAGTGTAGTACAGGTTCCTATATACAAGTTCCCACTGTTGTCAAGTGCATGGGCTCAGGAAGTGTGGGCAGTTGTCAAGGACTAGGATGAGCAGCAAGTGAGAAGTGACCCCCAAGATACTAAGGGGTTATTTACTAAGTGATGAAAGAATTCTGAATTTACACAGTATGGAGTAGATCTCTCTAACTGTAGCAAAATTCACTGAAGTGTTGCTTTAAAATCACTTGGTGTCTGAAGCATACCTCAGTAAACTTTGTACATTAAAATAAAAACAAGGGGACATTTGCCACTAGGACTTTCCTATGTCTTCCCAGGCGGTTTTCATGTACAGACCAACACATTTTTTTATAGATCAAAATGCAAAGGCCTTCACCTCGGCCGACATGCCAGGGTCCCCTAGGACTGCTGCCATGAGCCCACCGCTCCGCCAGGACACCTGGGATGACCCAGGCATGACTGAGCTGCCTCAGACCTCTGCTGCAGGCCTGCCCCTGGACTCACAGGCCTGGGACATCCCTGACCTCTCCGGGGGTCTGCTTCTTGGGGAACTTACCTGCCTTCTGGACTTAGTACTGCAGTTGGTCTCTGGATCCAATCCATTCTACCAGAACCTTGGTCAACAGTGGATTCACATGCTGCCTGGATGGGAGACTCAGGAACCCCTCACCCAAACAGAAGACCTCAGCAGGCTCCAGTCAGTGTGCTGAGTTTGCCTCTAAACTAGAGGTCTGCAATGGGTAAATAGGGGCAGAAGTGAAGCTCCTTCCAACTGTAAGACCTTGGCGAACCTGGCAAAACAGTAGATGATCTCTCCACACAGAGAACATCAGACAGGTTGAGCAGTGTGCCAATAAAGTCTCCCCCAACTTGGAGAAAATCAAAAGCGCTTATGAGACCCCAGTGACCCATCAGGGGTCCCCATCTCCTTCATGGCAAGTCTCCAGATCGCCTTGAGTGCCTGAGGGGCTCACTTCTTGAAGTTCCCCTCCATGAATGAGCTTGTGAATGTCCACTGTGCATTCTCAGGTCACCCCCTCTTTGACAGCAGGATGGCCCTTCTTCTTCCTCCCACACTTCTTTGTGGGACCCATTGTGCCACGCGCTATTTAGAAATGAAGAAGATAAGCACCTACCCCAAAATGAATGAAACATTTTTGTAAGCGATCAGCAAATCTATGGGAAATTCCACCTAAGAGCAAATTTCTTTATGCAATGAAAGGTACTAATTTTTCCCAAAATGCAGCTCCTGGAATTGTACCTAACTGTATCTTGGATTACAGTCACTAGACAGTCTCTAAGCCTTCCTCTTTTTGTGCTTTTATTCATGAAAAGATCTAAGTTGTTCATTTCCTGTAGGGAAAATCCAGACCCACGGACAGTTTCAAGGTGGAAGGTGTGGCATGGCACACAACTGCCACGTGAAAAAAGCTCTCGTCTTGTTCACTCTCTTTTACCCTAATGATTTGCTTTAAAAACTTGTAGATTGTACTTCAAAAGCTTATGCTAGTGTGGTTTCTATGGAAAAAATAAACTTGGTAATGACCATAGTCACGTTTTCATTTAGTGGAATTTGCTGGAGCAGATCATCATTGGATTCCACATGAGGAAAGAGATTTTCACAAGATAAGTGTCATCATGAGTCAAAATGCATCCAAGTACAGAAACACAAGAGGGCAGGATCTAATGACGTCTAAACATGGCTACATTGTGATTACAGATGTACGAAAATTATTTGGGAAAACTTATAGAGGTAAAGGAGACAGAATGCTTGATAGAGAAGACAAGTACAAATTGCTTTACAAATCTTACCAATAGATTTACACATAAATTTATTGAAACAGAGATTTTTATATATAAAGCAAATTTTGTTTGTTTTAAAGCAACTTCCTTCCTGGCATGGTGGAGCACACCTGTGATTCCAGCACTTTCGAGGTTGAGGCAAGAGGATCACTGTGAGCTGGAGGCCAGCTTGGGATGCATAGTAAATTCAAGGCCATTCTGAACTACACAGTGAGACCTTGTCTCAAAAAAAAAAAAAAAAAGATAAAGCAACTTTCAAATCTAGTAATTCTTAAACATAGTGACAGTTTCTATATTTGTCATGTGTTATAAATTTGCTTAAATAAATTATTTCATTTATATTTTGGCCAGTAAAAGTTACACATGTGTCTTTGAAATACTATTGAACTTTCATTTAAAACATTTGTCCCTACCAGTAATACTTAGAATTGTGGACCAGGGTGCCTAAAAATGAACTCAGCTTTATCATCAATGTTAAGGGTTAAACTGGTTAAACGCCATTCCATGATCATTATCTAAATCATGAAGCCCGAGACTAAATTTTTGTTTCTCCTACTCTTCCTCATGACTCAGAAACGCTCTTCTTTGGTTATTATTTTTACTACTAAACTGACATCTAATGCATCAGCACATCTCCCCTCCTGACAGCACCCGCCTGACCCCGCGTCCGCTTTCCAGAGTCCGCAGCGCCCTCCTCCCAAGACGTTTTCAACGTGGTCCCTACGTGCAGCCCAGGGCACGGTCCAGGGTCAGGCAGAACCTTCTCCCCCTGCTCCCCCGAGCCCAGCGTCTCTCTTGCCTCCAAGCAGGGCAAATCCTCCTCCTGCCCGGGCGTCGCTGTCCGCAGGCTGAGGTGCTGACCACGCTGCGCGGGCTTGGGGGCTCCTGGGAGCAGTGGCCTTTCACTCTCCTGTCCCTCATCAAGTCACACGGTCTTGTGTGGTCAGGTGGTCATGGGGGAAGATTCATGCTGTTGCGTTTTATTCTAACAACATATTTGTGTGTGTTTTAAAAGCAAACGTTTAGGGCTGGGAATGTAGCTCCGAGGAAATGGCCTCCCTGCAAAGTGAATGCCCTGAGTTTGAATCTCAATACCAAAATAAAATAAAATAAAATAAAATAAAATTTATAAGGTGGGAAATATTTATACATCTCTATTCTTCTATATCTAGCTAGCTCTTCATCCCTTGACCTGCCCAATAAAAATGAAAAGTGATTTCTTTTACATATACCCAGTGTTTTTTTATATCTGTATAGTGTTTCACTATATGTAAAGATGAGAAAAGTTAAGGCCAAAAGCAGTGACTTATAGTCAGTCCTTCAAGAAATGTGGACTTTTGTTTGCACACTGTTCAGTAGTTTTGCTCTTTTGACTCATAATTAAGTGCACTGGAGAATGTTCAACACCCAAACAGAGATATTTATTTACTTTGTCCTGTATTGTTATACAATATTCTACACTGTATTTCATGGATTTCTCCAGCATTCAACTGCTTGTTTCTAATGAGTCTTATTTTTAAAAAGTTGTGGCAAGTGAACTTAGACCATGGTACTATGACTGTGGAGATGTTTTGTTTTGTTTTGTTTTGTTTGTTTGTTTGTTTGTTTGTGTGTGTGTGTGTGTGTGTTTGTGTGTAAGTTTCTCACAATTGCAATTTATGTTCTAAGAGAGATGCAT